CTTGACTTTCAGAATTTTTACTCGCTTATTTAGATGGGGTATCGTGTACCTGTCAAGTTAGAAATATTTTGGACTAATACCCGCTAAATTACTCCTCATAAATTCATTTAATCTAACATGGGGCTGATTTAATGACATGGACTAAATGTCTCGCCCCCCATTCACATAAAAATATGCAACTTCGTTGATTGCAATTGCAAATAAATGTTTGTTTGATTGATATTCTTACAATAACTATTATTTTGGAGCATCCTGGCTTGAATTAAATGTCTCATCTGCCCTATTACACGTTGTATCAAGTGGCTGTGCAGTTAACTGTTAACGTCGTCACGAAACTCATGAACCGGTAGCAAATCCCGTTAGGGGTGCTGGTGAGATACATGAGAGATCGGAACTGCCGGACACACACTATGAGATAGCCTTCTGAGAGGCAAGGCTAGGCGAATTGCTATGGCATCGTGATGTCTACGTATCTCATTGTGGGAAAAATTAACAGTCCTTCAACGGCATTTAGAAAACTACTGTTGAAAGTTTTTATTAACGACCCGGTCATTTTCCCCGAGTACCAGAATAAGTAAGTACGAATACTTAATCCCGCAAATTTGAAGCATTGTGTAGATAGCAATACGTTTTATACAATTTAGCTTATGCCCAAATTAATTGAGTGCGACTAGCTGTGCCAGGATGATTGCGGGCAAAAGATACTTACAAAGAACCCATATATATAGCTGAATAAAGTAAAAGAGTAATACATCAAGGCATAGCAATAGAAGGTAGATATGACGGAAGACATTCTAGGGGTTGTATGCTACAAATTTAAATAAAAACTAATTTAATGCATTTTCTTAGACAATATTTGGCAGACTTACACCGAGGTTATGCCATAATTTCCTATCTGAGTATCAATGTAAATGAACGCTGATTCTGATTGGTGGGTAGTCCTTAAATCAGGAGCATCTGTTACAGGATTAGAGTTTTGTTGGTTCATATTATTTACGTTAATGATTATAGCGTTTGGAACTGCTTTCACTTGCTTCATATCATCTGAACCTTGTTCGTACACAGCATGTTGGAGAGGTAAGGAAGAATGTGGCAATTCATTTGAAAATGTCTGTGGAAGTCGGGTTATTTCTCTTGGCCTATGATCACCATGGCAACTATGATGAAAAGGCTGATTGGTGAATGGTCCTGTAGGCTGCTCGTTGCAAATGGCTAAAACTTGAGGCAAACGAAGATGCTTTTGAGCCCTTACATCAATAGATGATTTGAGCGCGGCCCGGATATTGTCACTCACGGAAGTTTGTGTGTTGTTCTGGTTAGTCAACTGAGCAGTTGGTATCACATCATGCAGAACTGAAGAGTCCCTAGGGGGACAGAGGCTATTTTCATCCTTTTCAACCGCCTGTACATTGAAGGGGAGCTCCAGCGTATCTAAGTTTCCTTCTTCATAAACATCATCTATATAATGGTCATCTGAAATGTATTCCTCTTCCCTCGTTTTTTTTTCTGTGATTCGTCTAGCATGGCCATATCTATTGTATGCGTTGAGGATGGCAACAATCCAAGTCAAGAAAAGGCGTATTCTTAGATCGATTGTGAGACAGACGGTTAAAGCAACAGCAAAAGTGATTTCGAAGAGGCTAGCGCCTAAAATCAAAGTGGATTTTGTAAAAAGTATCCGGTCAATAAGAAGACTTGTGCCAAAATAATAATTGTCCGATTCCCTGCCCCGAGCATCCTTTGTTTGCAATGCGAAATAATTTATCATCGTACTCTCTAATGAATATGCCATGCTGGAGGACACAATTGATAATAAACACATCGTAATGGCTAGTAAATGGCCCTGTCCGTGCAACCCAATCTTTACTTCCATGTCATGCCGTTTTGTTAGGTATAGCCAAGTTCGACATTGCCACAGGGGAGCAGAACAACAATGTACTGCTGCGATGCCTGTGATACCAGCAAAAATGGATAGAGCACCAGCTGGTATGCCTCCCCATGTACAGGGGGTGTATGAGAATTGCGTTTCTATGGGTTTGGTTTGGCCTTTTCCAAACCAAATTACTCCTGTAACGCAACCAAGAATACTTATACCCCCAAAAATGATCAAAAATGAAGCAAAAGCAGGTACACATTGGCCTGGTGACTCTCGACACCAATCAGACGATCCTATCAATAGTTCTGTCAATTCTATTATTTTCTGCTTTGCATTCTCTCTCGTGCACTTGAAGACTCTGGTGGCTTCTTTATGTTTATCCGGCAGGCCTCTTTTATAATGACGAAAAAGTGAAAAACTTAATGCTACATTTGCAAACAACATAAAAATAGCAATCAAAATACGAGAAGATAGGCGTAGTAGACATATGTTCTGACAAAGTTGTTGCATTGCGCAGATAGCGTGTTTCTCCTCGTTCATCAGAGTTATTAAGCCTTCCTTCATGATGCCGAATATGCGAAGTGACATGGAAGCTGTCAGCATCAGAGCTCCAAACGTGCCAGAAGTGGTTGCGAGCAGACTGGTGAATAAAAACCATGCTCCTATCGCGGTAGCACTAGACGCTGAATAGGCTATTAGTGAAGCTGATTGCCGAAGTAAACTAAGCGAATCGGAACTTGGCAAATGAGGCAATTTTGGTCTCATAGAAACACCAATGACGCCATTGCTCATATCTCCGACTGTCGCTATGCTTTCTATGATCTTAGGTGTTGCCAATGGACTGGAAAATGTTATCAAACAAAGAAATGATGTCAAAAGGCTAATGACCGTTGCAACCAGTTCAATTGACAGGCGAGATGAGGCCTGCCTATGCGGACTCTGAGCAAAACTCTGGCCCGCTGCGGTTTTGAGCTCAGAATGTTGTGAATAAAGCCCCGTAGCATCTGGTGCTGGGGCAATGCCTTTCTGGGTAA